AAAAAAAAAAAGCGCTAAGTGATTGACCTGAGGCTGCCTGGCACACAGGCGCCAAAACTGGGGCTCTAAGCCAGCCAGCTCTGTGCGCTGTCCCCTGGGCATCTCTCTGTTTGAGATGGGAAACCAGAGGGCACAGGTCTTCCTTGTTTGGCTTCAACTGGGTACACGCACTACAGGCAATTTGAGTTTCTGCCACTTCCACGAACACCTAGAAGGTTCCTGGGGTGGCACAGAAGCTCGTCTTGTGGCTTGGTGAGTTCACAGACACGAAGTCCACAAACAAGGAGGATTCACCATGTCTTTTCTGGTCTGTTTTCTTACTTTAGAAGGTAAACCCCACGAGGGCCGGAATGTTTTGTCTCTTTTGTTCACTGCTAACTCCCCAGTCCCTAGGAAAGAACCTGGGACCTAGGAGGCACTCGGTAAGTATCTCTTGACTGCACAAAGGGCACAGAGAGAGAGGATGAACTGGTTATCTGACATCTTGATCCTTACAATATAGGGCGGAAAATGTGGCCCAGAGAGGGTAAGCCACTTGCTTAAAGTTGTTCAGCCAGGCAAGGCATGGGGGGAGGGAGGGGGAGGAAGGGGCCAGGGGGGGAGGCGTCTCTCTTATCATGGCCTTGCTGTGTGCCCTCAGTGTCATCAGTTCACCTCTCTGAGCCTTGGTTTGCCAACATGAGGGATCCTTATGAAAGGTAGTTATTAAGCCCATGGAATTTTACCTTCAAAGCCACCACACTGAGACCTAAAAACGACACGCATGAGTGTGTCTTTACAGTCATCAGTGGAGGGAAGGGCCGACGATGACGTCAGGCTACAAGACGGAAGCTGTTTGCCCCAGATGGTTCTGGTAATTACGAGGCTGGGTGGTTTACCTGACTCCCAACAGCGCTACGATGGTGATGATCGTTATCGGCATTCCCATTCTAGAAACCTAGGAACTGAGGCTTGAAGAGGTGAGGGCACAGGGCTGGGGGCACACGGCAGGGAGAGAACGGAGCCCGGATGAAAACTCCAGGCATCGAGGATTCCAGAGCGACACCACCCCATCCAAGTGGACGCAGAGGGGAATGGGGAAGACAAAGGGGAAACTGAGGCACGGGAGGAAGGGACGGGAAGCCAGGGAGCGGGCTGACACCAGCGGAGAATGGCCTTGGGCCTCACAACTCACGGTAGCCAGCGTTGTTGACCACACAATCCAGGCGGCCAAATCGGCGGATGGTCTCAGAAATGAGGACCTGAGGACAAAGACGTCTCGTGAGGGAGCAGCGCTGGCACCCAGGCTTGACAAGCCCGGACTCCCAAAGGCAAGGTGGGGAGGGGGAAGCTGGAGTCACAGCCGAGGGGACAGGAAGTGGGGGACTGCCCCACATCACTAAGGATGACAGGAGAAGAGACAGGAAGCCAGGGATGCCAGGGAGCAGAGGGCTGGGTATATTCACACTGTCGTCCATGACTCCAGAGACCCGGGGGAGGGGTGTTGGGACGGGGGTGGGGGTTGGCGGTGGGGACATCCGAGAGACACTGACTAAAGGGAAGGGATAGAGGGGCTCCTGGGCGGCTCAGGCGGTTACGCGTCTGACTCTCATGGCTCAGGTCACGATCTCTCCGTTCTCGGGTTCGAGCCCCACGTCAGTGCAGAGCCTGCTTGGGATCCTCCCTCCTTCTCTCCCTGCCCCTCCCGGGCCCGTGCTCTCGCCCTCTCTCAAAATAAGTAAGTCGACTTAAAAACCGCAGAGGCAGAAGGGAAAAACTCTCACAGCTGGAGATCCACCGGGAGGGATGTTTTTGTTCTGATCTACGTGACTGGTGTGACGGGAGCCTTGAGGAAGGAAGATACAAAGGAGAACCTTCCCAGGAGACCCAGAACATGGCCAGCAGAATCAGGGAAAGCCTTGATAGGAGGCTGAGCTGAAACCTTTGTGACCAGGCAGGGACAAGAACAGCTCACCCTCATATCTTCCTCCTGAGTCACATCACATCGAAGAAAGAGAGTTCCAGCAAGCTCTTGCTCCAGGGCCCGGCCCCCAGACTCTGCAGGGAGAGAAAGGCTGGGGGTCCTGACTCCTGGGTCTGAGGGAGGAGGGGCT